TAATCATGCCATAAATAATTAGCCCTTACTAATAATAAAAGTGTCAAAATTCATGAGATTACTTACTTTACTATAAAACATGATTTTAGCACGGTTCAAGGTTATTCTTATACATCACCCTCCCTTGGTTGCATTCAATTTGCTTTCCTTAATGAGAAAAAAAGGGGCTGACAATACAGGTACTGCCCTGGAGAATTGCCCTCAATCCCAGTTTACAAATTCATCAGTCAGATATATTCTATGTCATGATAGAGAGCAGGTGAAAAACCGCTAGGCTACAGAATGACTCACGCACACAGTGGTTTCAGTGCAGACAATTAATGGAAGGAAGCAGAATGTTGGAAAATTCAAGCCATTTCTATTTATCTTCATCTTCTACTTCATAGTTCATAAAGTAATTATACCCTCACATAATTACTCTACAATAATACTAAAAGCTGAATAATGAAAGACACTGTTCCAGGTACAATCCATTTAAGGTAATTGAGAATGAATCTTAGTTTGAAATCAGCTATGTAAAACCTGATTAAGTACATCATATCTGAAGTTTTGCAAAAACAGATATTAATTGTAGAAAATTATTTGGTATTTTGGGAAAGTTTTCGATTATGTATTTTTTAATTTCTCATTTATAGAATCATAATGAGGGTTAATATAACTACCTACTATATTCACCTAACAATTAGGAGAGTTGTACATTGCCAAGTAGCTGTGGGTGTATTTGTTAAGTAATCATAAGAGTTCTAGACAACAACTTGAATCTTCAGTAGACCAAATAATTAAAAACAGAGCATTCAAAATAAAGGCAGTGCACCCTATTGAAAATATTCTTTCTGGGGCCTGCGCTGTGGCATAGCAGGTAAAGCTGCTGCCTGCAGTGCCCATATGGACGCTGGTTCAAGTTCCAGCTGCTCCTCTTCCAATCCAGCTCTCTGATATGGCCTGGGAAAGCAGTAGAAGATGGCCCAAGTCCTTGGGCCCCTGCACCCTTGTGGGAGTCCTGGAAGAAGCTCCTGGCTCCTGGCTTCAGATTGGCTCAACTCTGGCCATTGCAGCCATCTAGCGAGGTTCTAATCCTGGTTGGGGCGCCGGATTCTGTCCTGGTTGCTCCTCTTCCAGTCCAGCTCTCTGCTGTGGCCCAGGAAGGCAGTGGAGGATGGCCCAGGTGCTTGGGCCCTGCACCCACATGGGAGACCAGGAGGAAGCACCTGGCTCCTGGCTTCGGATCGGCGCAGCACTGGCTTTAGCGGCCATTTGGGGGGTGAACCAACGGAAGGAAGACCTTTCTTGCTGTCTCTCTCTCTCACTGTCTATAACTCTACCTGCAAATAAAAAAAAAAGATTTATTGGTGTATTTATTTATTATTTATTTGAAAGGCAGAATTACAGAGCAAGTGAGTGAGTGAGTGAGAGAGAGCTCTTCAATCCACTGGTTTGCTCTTCAGATGGCCACAGTGGTCAGAGTCGGGCCAGGCTAAATCCAGAAATCTGGAACACTAACCACAGCTCCCACAGTGGTGACAGAAGCCTAAGTACTTGGGCCATCTCCTGCTGCTTTCCTGGGTACATCAGCAGGGAGCTGAATTGGAAGTGGAGCTGTTGGGACTCAAACTGCTGCTCATGAGAGATGCCACTGTGCCACAATGCCAGCATCATAAAATATATTTCAAAATATGCTTAAAAACTCCCACACTCTCTTCCCTTCCACTACCCACCGTGAGTTCTTTATTCCAGATAAAGATTACTTTCTTCCCAAATATAAATTAAATGTTAATTTATATTGCTATAGTTTTTATTGTCAATTACAATAAATCAATGCAATGTCCACAAATGACATTTTTAAATAATATAAATAAAAGTAATCTAAATGCATAATTTCTTATTTTAAAAATTATTATTTACTGAAACTATAAATATCTCATCCAAAAAATTATGTTTTTAATTGTTTTATGATACCTACTTACTAAGAATATGTCTTTCTGTTAGCACCCTGGACTGATTTAAACACTTTTACTATTTTATGCTACTACCTGTGTCTCTGGCCAGGATAGCACAAAAAATAAATTGCCACTTCAAATGTGCCCAGCTGCTCTTTTGTATCTTGATAGGTCCAATCATTCTCAACAGGAATGCTTGATAGCTTTGGAAACCGCAATAATACAGTGTCACATTCTTGACTTTTTTCTATATTATTATTTTACACTAAGCCTAACAGGTACTTCATTTTCATTGGTAAAATCAAAGAATGAAATTTTCAAACCTTCAATTTTTATTTGTTAGGTTAGTTCTCCAATTTATTTGTAAAATCTATAATTTATAATTCTTCTGAGTATGTGAGTACATACACAAATATGTTTCTACTTATAAGCCATTAGATAAAAGAGAAGTTTTAGCCAGAAAGTGATAGAGTTGTTGTCTTGAAAGATTGACTGATAGCAGGGCTTAATTCCCAAAGCCATAGCTTCAGGAATTATCACTAGTAAGAGATCCTATTTTTATATATGTTTTGAGTAATTTTTTTCTTTTAAATGAAAAGTTTATCAGTTATTGTATCCTTAAAAAAGTAATATTCTAAAGGGGCTACTGCCTTTTGGGGCAGTAGCCAAGTTGCTGCTTGGGACATCCACATCCCATATCAAAATGTCTGAGTTCAAGTTCCAACTCTGCTTCTGATTCCATCTCCCTGCTAATTGTACCTTGGCTTAAGTTATTGAGTCCTTGCAACCCATCAGGGAGACCCAGAAGGATTTCTTGGGTCCTAACTTCAGCGGACCCAACCCCAGCTATTGCAGGCATTTGGCAAGTGACAGCCAATGGAAGATCTCTGTCTGCCTTTCAAATAAATTAAAATAAATAATGTCTGAGGTTTCAATGGGCTTCAATATTTAAGATTTTTCAGTTGAGAAAAAATATTGGGATCACAAAAATAGTGATTATTGCCTTTTTCTTATTTTATATTGAGGTATAGCTGTTTTCTGTTTATTAGTATAACTTTTTAAAAGTAGCATATGGATGATGCAAAAGATGAATATTGAGCTGAATTTTCTAAAGAAGATGCTATGGGAGAGAGACCAAGATGGTGGAATAGGGAGGGAACATACAGTTCTAGCCTAAGGGAAGATAGTGAAAAAAACATGGAGAGAGTGCAATCTCCAGGCAGAGTTAGGGAGAAAATGACAGAGGAAACTCCACACAAATTAGAGGGACACTGTGGACCTATGTGGAGAGTCTGGACACACAAACTTCAGGACCCCAGCAACTGAGGGCCTCGGCACCAGCTTTAGAGAGTGAGGTGACACCAGATTGCAGTAGCACAAGCCACTGGCAATAAAGCTGAGGGAAGAGCCTGCCTGGCATGAGTCCATCTTGGAACACTGTGGGGGTCAGTATATCTGCAATCCTAGAGAAAAAAGGGGGGACACACTTCTCCCTTCCCGAAAACCCTATGCCAGCGTTCTGTAACTGACCAAGAGGGGGCAGGCGGCATTTTGGACATACATAACAGCTGTGCCAGCTCATGTGCACATGACTAGCCACCAGCCGAGAGGAGATGCCTAAGTCTGTCTGGGAGAACTGACAAGGGCCTGTGAGGGAGGGTGCAGGATGTGACTGGCACTTTGGAGAGTCACTGTGGGTGGCTCCACACGCTCAAGGCTTCCTGATTCCCTGAGGGTCATTGCTGTGGGATCCGTGCTCACACTGAGGGTGGCATGGATCCTTTGGGTGGCTCTTGTGGCAGTGTGAACAAATATTATACCCACTGGTGCTATTGACCAGGCATTGGTCTCCTTGGAGGAGAAGAGGTTGAGCTTGAGATTATGCAAGCAGAGAAGAATAAAAAAAAAAAAATCATGCTCAATTTAAGTGTCACCTTACACACTCTCCGAATCCCAGAGCACTGAACAGAGCTCCCTGATCACAGCCAGCACACACTTAAGGGAATTCACTGAAAGAGTAGACACTCCACTAAGTCACAGATACATAGTCCAAAGACAAAAGCCATTTCAGGGGGAAAAAAGAGTATCTTGACAAATGCTTAAAAATAAACCCAGCAATTCAAGAAATAAGAATAAGGAAGACAACATGTTGCAAGGAACATAACAACTCTTCAATACTAGGATGTGAAAATGAAGAGATTGAAGGAATGCAGGAAGTGTAATTCAAAAAATTGATCATAGGATTACTTAGAAGTAATCAGAAGCAAATCCACAAATTGAAGAAATCCATACTGATACGAATGAAAATTTACCCAATGAAATTGAGATTTTAAAGAGAAATCAAAACAAAATATTAAAAATGAAGAATTCAATAGATCAAATACAAAATGTGGTAGAAAGCCTTAACAAGAGACTCTGTGAGGCACAAGAAAGAATATCTGAGTTAGAAGACAAATCTCTGGAAATTTTATGGTCAGACCAAAAAAAAAAAAAAAAAAAAAAAAAAAAGAAGAAGAAGAAGAAGAAAAAGAAATTAGAAAACTAAAAAAAACAGTGTTGAAGTTTATTGGGATACTATCAAATTAACCAACATATAGGCCTTAGGAGTTCCTGAAGGTGTGGTTAGAAAGAGTGGATTAGAAGGCCTTTTAGTGAAATAATTACAGAAAATTTCCCTGATTTCGAGAAAGAGGCATCCACATACAGGAAGCACATAAAACAACTAATAGACATGACCAGAAAAGATCCTCACCATGAAAAACTATTGTCAAACTCTCCACAGTAAAAAATAAAAAATGATTCTAAAATGTACATGCGAGAAAGCCCAAATTATTTTCAGAGGATCTCTAATAAGATTCTCAGCTGACTTCTCATCAGAAACTCTATAGGCTAAAAGAGAATGGTGAGATATATTCCAAATCTTAAGAGGAAAAAAACCTGTCTGTCAGGGTCTCAAGCCCGATGCTAGCCCCTGACCAGCAGGGGCAGCACAGGCACTCCTCAACAAGGTGAACAGGAAGGGTAAGGTCGACGGGTGATGAACATACCACAAGCACCCATGAGTTCTGTCGAAGCAGGAACCACTTTATTGAAGAAGTGTGCAGGCTTATAAAACTTACAGAAGACATGCACAGTTAAGGGAGCCAATCAGCTAAAAGGTCATGTAGGCATGGGTGGACCACACACAGGGGCACCTTAATAAAGTATAGTGATCATGCACTGTCTGGAACTAAAGCGGACCTATCCCTGCCAGTGGTCTGATGTAGCTTAACAGCAGCAGCCGCAGACACGCCCCTGGAACATCCACCAGGTGCCATACTGTAATGGAGATTTTAGGCAATGCCCAACATTTCCCCCTTTTTGTTTTATATTAAAAGAGAAAGAGGAACTGAGCAGAGAGTGTGCCTGTCTTAGATTGTCCCCTCTGACTGGGATCAGCCCTTTAGGGAGCATGTCTGTGTTAGGTTGTCCCCCTCTAGGGATCTTACCCATCTTTGACTACTACTCCAGTTGTTAAGGGCTGCCCCAGGGATCTTACCCATCATTGGCTACCACCTCAGCAACTCAGGGTATGAGGTATTATACCTCTATATCTTGGCAGTGGCCATGGGCGGATGTACAGGGTTCCCAATCTGGGGCTTAAAGAGCGGCATAACTCGGTTCTTGAAGAGTGGCATATTGTTGTTGACCACCATTAACTGGACTGCAGCAATGCGATCTTGGACAAATTTACAAGGACAATGGAGAGCAAGGGGCCCACAAGGGGGAGGAGATAAGGAAGCCATCTCCCAAGGCCCAACCACAGGTCAAGGTCTTTTTGGAGGGTCTTGATCTTGTCCTGGATGATGCCGGAGCGATTAGCATAAAACCAGCACTCCTGATGTACCATGATGATCCAGTCACAAAAAGGCAGAGAGTCCAATATGGTCTTTTTATCCCTGTAAGAGAATAGAAAAATGTAAATTGCCTCAATTCTCCAGCTAAAGATTACAGACTGGCTAAATGGATTAAAAAATAAAACCCATCTATTTGTTGTCTACAAGAAACACATCTCACCAACAAAGATACACACAGACTGAAAGGATGGGCAAAGATATTCCATGTTAGCAGAAACCAAAAAAGAGCTGGTGTAGCCATCCTTAGATTAGACAAAAATAGACTTTAACACAAAAACTGCTAAAAGAGACAAGGGCAATATGCAATGATTAAGAGATCAACTCAACAGGAAGATGTGACTCTAATAAATGTATATGCACCTAATTACAGGGTAGCTGGGAACCTGGCTATTTAAAAGAGATGTTAATGGATCTAAAGGGAGAGACACAGACTTCTCTACAGTAGTAATGGGGTACTTCAATACCCCACTTTCAGCAGTGGACAGATCAACCAGACAGAAAATCCGCAAGGGAACAACAGTTAATTGACACTAAAGACCAAATGGACCTAACGGATATCTACAGAACTTTTCATCCTACAGTTTTAGAATGTACAGTCTTCTCACCAGTGCATGGAACTTTTTCTAAGATAGTCCAGAGGCTAGACCATAAAGAAGTCTCAACAAATTCAAGAAAATTGAAATAATACCGTGCATCTTCTCTGATCACAATGGGAAGAAACTGGAAATCAATAACTCAAGAATCTCTAGATCATATGCAAACACATGGAGACTGAACAACACGCTCCTGAATTAACAGTGGGTCCTGGAAGAAATCAAAAGAAAAATCAAAAAACTGTTGTGGAACAGTTTTTTTATACTATTTGTTGAACACTTTATTTAGTGTAGAGTTAATCTTCTTGTATAAAGTTAATTGAAAGTATATTTTAGTAAAAAATAAGAATGGGAATAGGAGAGTGTGTATGGTGGGAAGAATCACTATGTTCATAAAGTTGTATTTATGAAAAGCATGAAGTTTATATACATTAAATAAAAGGTTTCTGGGGAGAAAAAAAGAAAATGCTATGTTAATAACCTCAAGCCACACCATTTCCCTCATGTATTTGCAGCAAACAATGTTAATGCAACAAAGCAAGGAGACATGCACTATAACCCAGATTTTTCCATTAGAAAAACAAACTGACAAGTGCACTTTATACAGGGATTGAGATTTATTTATGCCACTGTCTAAAACATGAGATCATGTACCCTTCAACATAATATGGGTCATGTTGATGCAGCTTATTTAAGCTATTGATTTTTCCTGTTATATCTATTCTAATATCCTTTATTGCACTAAGGAAGAGCTGTGCAACCCTAGGATTCTAGAAGAAGTCTAAAACTTTTATTATTTTACCCTTGACTCTATATTTGGAGCTAGAAAATGCTCACAGTTACACAAAATAATATTATGAAAGTCATTCAAATTCATAGAATATTAAGCAACATTTCTTATGTGGAACACATGTCTTCTATAAAGACTAGACTCAAGGAAATTATGAGATGTAGTTAACAACACAGGATTGCCCCTTAAGCACAAATAATCTTTATTCTCTTCTTTATCCCTATATCCACTCCCCCTGAACATTATCATTTAAACAATTTTTGCCTTGTAACTACATCTATCATAATACTAAAGTTCAGTAGGTCGTACACACTCAATGATGACCTTTCCAAAGAACATTCGAATTTGACATAAAAATATGGTATAGTCTAATTGCCACACACATCCTATTCTTAGGAAAATATCAATGCTCAGCAAACCTTAACATTGAATAGAACAGATTTGTGATGCTCAGAACAACAGATGTTAGTTTGCTATTACATTAAAAACGGAACATAAAAGAGAATGATATCCACTTGTATCATATGCTGTGAGCTGATCATCTGCATCTGCTTGGCATGTTTGAGTCTAAATGAAGCAAGTTGAGTTTCCAAAGGGAATATCCATTTACTGCCGCACAATCAAAGCAATTACATTTCTTTCCTGTGGTACTCATCAATCATAAAACAAGTCAAATATTCACATTGCAGCTTAAGCAAGAGGACTAAAAGGAACCAGGATCCACACCAGTTATTCAGTATGTTAGTGTGATGCTAACCAGGCTGAGCAATGCTGAAAATAGAGGGTAAAGGGAAAGTCTTTGGAGCACTTGGATCGCACCTGGTCATTCTGTCACTTTTCCACATGATTAATTTAATTACCTCTCCCTAGTTTGGGGTATCACTTCTAAACTTTGAGTAGTTGCTGAGAGAAGGTACCTGTGAAAGATGCCCTACTGCTTGAGCACTCTTGTGCTCTATAATGGTGATTTGATGCAGGTGAAAAATAGGATCACTCTTTTTCCCTATTGATTTCTGGAAAAGAAAATGCTTCCTTCCAACGCACAATGCACTATTATTTTTGTTATCGTTTTTCATGGAGCTGTACTTCCTCTACAGAAATGTGAAAAAATAAAAGCATCATACCCTTGCCCATGCCCAGAGGTACAAGCTAAAATCCAATTATCTAACTGATAGAAATACTTGTATTACATCTTTAAAAGGAAAGGAATTATTATTTTTAAAATAGAATGGTATCTCCAATGTCTAGTGTGCAATTCAAGTTTCACAAAGAAATGTGAAATCCCTGAGTTGCAAAATGAAGTGAAATGTAATGTTTACATCTAAACTTAACTTTGTATTGTTAAAATACATTTTTAAATGTCCTTCCATTCAGTTCATTAACAGATGGAATTGATCAATGAACCTTACAAAAGAATCTTTGAGACTAATGCAATTCCTAGAATCTAGATTACTCGGTCTTCCAGCATTCCTGAGACAAAAATGTTATTTCCAAGATTATAAAAATACTATTACTTCGGAAATTTATTTAGAAAATAAATCATTAAAAGTTTTCTGCATCTTTAAACGCAGTGTCTTACCTAAGAATTCATTACAAATTTACAAACTGATAAATTATAAAATTCATCTGCAATACCATTGAATTCTCTTCTAAGAACTATAGAATCACAAATAATTTAATTGTAATGGAAGGAAAGCTGCATTAAAACAAGCTAAGTTGGGGTTGAGTTCAAGATGGAAGACTGGTAACTATGGTTACCTCTTTCATTCCCCCAATTTATTTAAATGATAGAAAATAATATAAATTAAATGAGTAGAGAACAGCTTAGAAAAATCTGTAGGAAGACTAGAGTGAAAGTAGAAGTCATTCACTTACTAGAGCTGGCAAAAGGAAGGAGCAAATGGAGCAGAAAGTAAAGTTAATAAAGAACTTCTTTGAGCCGGCATTGTGGCGGAGCCGACTAAGCTGTTGCTTGCAACCATCATCATCCCATGTGAGAGCAGTTGCTTGAGTATAAGTAATGTGCCTGGGAAGGTAATGGTTATGGGTCCAAGCACGTGGGCCTCTGCCACCCACATGGGAGACCAGGATGGGGTGCTGGGCTCCTGGCTTCAGATTGCCTCAGTCTGGGCTGTTTTGGTCATTCGGAGAACAAAGCAACAAATGAAGATCTCAATCTCTCTCTTTCTCTCCCTTTTTAATTCCGTGTCTCCCTCTCTATCAATCTCTTTTTAATGGATGAATGAATGCACAACTCTTTCTTTAAAAAAAAAAAAAGGCCAGCATTGCGACACAGCAGGTTAATGCCACCTGCGACACTGGCATCCCATGTAGGAGCCAGTTTGAGTCCCAGCCCTTCTGCTTCTGACCCAGATGGAGTTTCAGACCCCTGGCTTCAGCCTGCCCAGCCCTGGACATTGTAGATATTTGGGGAACAAATCAACGAGTGAGAGGTCTTTCCCTCTCTTTCTCTCCCTCTCTCGCTCTCTCTCTTAGTCTGCCTTTAAATTAAATAAATTAATATTTAAGAAACAATAAAGAATTTTTTGGTGGTAAATGGCCTTGTTAGAACTCAAAGTAACAGCAGGAACTATCAACAGGATTTAGCTACAGATAGAAATCTCTCTATCGAACAGAAAGTCTTTAATATGAGAGTTAAGTGCTAACGATACCAGGAAAAGACTTGGGGAAGCCTATCTGATCCCAGGGAGAGCCTTTCACTGCAACAGCCTGATCACCCCCACTCCCCACCCCCGGAAGACTGCTGCTCCTTGCCTCATCACTGCTTTTCCTATGTGCCACTGCAGCCAGAAGAGGCCGCCCAGCAAGGCACTCCTTAACGTCAGGAGCCTGGGAAGCTTTTCCTTCCTCATATATAGCTCATCTCCCCAAATCCAATGCCCCCTGCACTAGATCAGCGCAGTTATGGAAGAATGTGGTGAATCATGTCAGATTCTCCATTGCCACACATTTGCTGTGGGAACATGAGATACAAGTTTGGCCCCTAGAAACTTAGCTTCAACACATTTTATGGATATACTGTCCAAGGTCACCCTCAGGGACTTTGCGGGCATCAGGCAGGCTGGATAACCTCTTTGTGACAGGTCCCACTAATCTATGTATCCACATCCCATATGACATCACGGACATCACTGAGACCATGGAGCAGCAGCTGCAGGTCATTCTTCAAGTGCATAATTTGGCAGCAAAGTCCAAAGCTACTGGCAATTTCCCTCCAAACATCATATATAAGTGAAGCTGTCCACTCAACAATCTCCAGTTCTGACTCAGATGCCTCTTCCATCATTCTCTAGAGGCCCTCAGTCCTCTTTAGCCAGCACCTGAGAAAGGAGCAGAGCCTACCCAGAAACTGGTGTCACACAGACACCACGTGTCACCAATGGCTTTCACAGGTTCAGCCTCCCAGATATATCCTGGACCCAGATTCCTGTCTGCATTTAGCTGTATGGTAGGTGGCAATCCCCCTTTTGAAGATTTCCATCTAAATCCCCAATTTGCTGATTTAAGGAAGCCATCAAATAGTTCACTTCTGATCCAGTTCCCTGCTAATGAAAGCAGCTGGGGACAACCCAAGTGCTTGGGCTCCTTCACTCACATGGGAGACCCAGAAGAAGCTCCTGGCTCCCGGCTTCAACCTGGTTCAGCCCTGGCTCTTGTAGCCATTTTGGGAGTGACCCGAGGATGGAAGATCTGTGTGTGTGTGTGTGTGTGTGTGTGTCTCCCTCTCTCTCTCTCTCTCTGAAACTATGCTTTTCATATAAAAAAAAAAGATAAAAATGATCAAAAAACAAACCAAAACTAAACACTCAAATGCCATAGTAGCATTTATTCCCTGGCTGAATTGGAGACATTTTTATAAATGAATCAGTTATTCTGTTGGAAATAGCCTTCCTTAATCCTCATGCTTAAGTTGTAAATTTCACAATTTATTCTGAAGATAAAGTTATTTTCAAATTCAGATATATAATTGCCTCCTTCTAGCATTACATATAAGAACTGTAGTTTTATCAAACACCATCTGGCTACATTTATTGGCCTACTATAATAAATAAAAGCAGACACTATTGTCTACAGCATCTTTACTCTAAAACCATAGTAATTCTTGTGAGTGACAATGTTAGTGTATTGTGTTTTGCACCAAACCACGTGTTGAGAACAACTATCAAATCTAGAGAAAGGTTTTGTGTGTGTGTATTTGTGTGTGTATTTATCATTGGAAGCAGGTATTCAGTTTAAGAGTTAAGACAGTAATTAAGAATCTTGCATTTCAAATCTAAAGTGCCTGGTTTCAATTGCTGGCTCTAGTTTCTGACTACAGCTCCTCGATAATGCAGACAGTGAAAAGCAGTAGGAAATGGCTCAAATAGTTGGTGACAGCTCTCTGTGTTTAAGACCTGAAC